ACCCCATGGGCAGCAGAACCAAATGCTGACTGGTCCTGTGCTGTCCCCGAGGTTGCTTGGCAACTGGGTTGTTGTGATGCTGTTATTGTGATGCTGCTCTCATCGGCTGATGTTTGGCAGGAGATCACCAGGTTTTTGTTCCTGGTCCATCTTAGTCTGGAAGTTCTGTGGAAACCCGTTCTGCATCATTGCAACTCACAAACCTCCACGGGGGGACGGGTAGTGGCTATGCGTGGGGTGCACTGACCAGGAACCCTACCCTGGTCTCCCACGTGGGAAGTGGGAGTTCTACCACTTCCCTCTTCCACATTTTCCACATCCTCCAAAACCCAAACCAAGCCTCTTGCTGCTGAGTCGATTCCAACTCCTAGAGACCGTGAAGGACAGAGTAGAATGGCCCCACAGATCTCCAAGGTTGTCAGTCTTTAAAGAAGCAGACTGCCACATCTTATCTCTTGTGGCATGGCTGGTGGGTTTGAACTGCTGACCTTTCTGTTAGCAGCTGAGTGCTTAACCACTGCGCCACCAGGGCTCCTCTTCAAAATATAAAAATAAACTTACTGCCATTGAGTTGATTCTGACTCAACTGAGTTTCCAAGGCTATAAATCTTTACGGAAGCAGACCACCTCATCTTTCTTCCACGGAACAGCTGGTGGGTTTGAACCACTGACCTTTTGGTTAGCAGCCAACTGCTGTAACCGCTATACCACCAGAGCTCCCTCAGGGCTCCTCTTATTAGCTGCTGATTCTGGTGAATCCTTCTCAGAAACAGCTCTCATACCTGCCCCTGTTCTCTGTTCCTGTGGTTACCGCCCTTGTTCAGGGTTTTATCACTTTTTGTGTGGCCAATGGTCTCAGACTGTTTTTGCTTCTCAGTCCTCTCCAGTTGGTGCTTGAAGTGATCCTTCTAGAGCAAAGCCATGGTCTATCCCATTGTAAAACTAGTCCCTCACTTAAAACCTTGGTGACTCCCAGGACCCACCCATCCTCCTCAGCTACATCGTTGGGTCCCCTTCCACTCCGGCCTCCCTACCCACCATTTCTTCTGTGAATTCTACATTCAGCCCCCTCCCCCCAGACCTCTCCAGTTTCTTGCTTCTGAGTCTTTGAACCCTACCTGCTCTTCCAGCCTGGAAGGTCTTGCCCACCTCCTCCCACTCCACTGCTCTGTCTGGCACCCATTACTCATTCTTCGAGGCCACTAAAACCACCTCCCCCTTCCTCGGGGACACTTAGTCATTTCTCCTTCTGTCCTCCCGTGACACTTGGTAAATGTTTCAGTAATTTTTTTTTTTTTTTTTTAGCAAACACGCCTACTATGTGCCAGACAATGCTCCTAAGTGCTTTCCAAATATTAATTCATTTAATTTTCATAACAATGCTCTGAGGTGCTTATTATTATTATCTCCATCACAGATGAGGCGCCCAAGCTCCCTGATAAGTCAAGCCGCCTGATCCAGATCACTGCGCAGCCAGGATTGGGACCCAGGTGGTGTGGCCTCACAGTTGGGCTCTAATTCCCTCCACTGTTGGCTTTTTTTCTGGGGGGGGGGGGGAGCTCTGGTGGCATAGTGGCTAAGGCACTTGACTGCTAACCAGAAGGCTGGCGGTTCAAACCCACCAGCCAATCCTTGGAAGGAAGGTTGGGCAATCTACTTCTGGAGTGATACTGCCTCGGAAACCCAAGGAGGGGTCGCTATGAGTTGGGTCCGACTCGATGGCACATAACAGCAACAACAACATTGGCTTTTCTGATTGAATGAGTGTCTAGGAACATTTAACCATGTAACTAAACAATATGAAAACTCCATTAATTGACCATTTGTAACCTATAGAAGCAGCACATTTGTGTGGCTCTACGTGCTAGGCTCTTGAAATACAGCAGAAAACTCGTAGGATACAGTCTTTGCCTTCAGAGAACATGGTGATGGGAGCTCAGAGAGTCTGTGACCTAATTTAGGGGTCTGGGGGGGGGCCCTCCAGGAAGTGATGCCTAAGAGGAGTCAAGAGGTGAGGGGGAGGATGAAGGGAGAGGTTGAGGGCGAGGGCTAAGAGTAGAGGCTTCCAGGCAGAACCACCCAGACCAGCACAGCCAAAGTCTGAAAGGTTGAGAGAAAGAGCCACCCACTGACACCATGTGGCCCGACAGTTAGCACCCAGCACAGAGCAGATGCCTGTAAGGATGTGTCAGAAGAATAAACGGAAGAAGAGAGCTAGCGCTAATGCACCGAAAGTGGGATTTTAAGCAAAAGAAAGATCCGCTCAGATTAGTTTTTTTATTGTTTCATGTTAAAGTCAGGTTTATGGTGATATCGTGACAGACAGTAACACACACTCTTTTTGGTTGTACAGCTGCACAAGTCTTGACAAACACATCAGTCTGGAACTACCATGGTCAAATATAGAACAGTTCACCACACCCAGAAACTCTCTGCTTGCTCCTTGGGGGTCAATACATCCTGCCCCAGGCAACCACTGACCTGTTCTCTGTCCCTGTAGCTTTGCTTTTTCAGAATGTCATTTTAATGGACTCCTCAACTTGCAGCCTTTTTTGATTTTGGCTTCTTTCACTCTCAGTAGTTAGTTTCTTTTTATCGCCAAGTAGAATTCCACTGTACAGATGCCCCTCAATTCATTCACTCACTAGTTGAAAGATTCCAATTAACTTTTACAAAAGGTCACTGCACTTAGTTTAGGAGCTCTGGCGGTGTAGTGGTTAAAGCATTTGGCTGCCAACTAAAAGGTTGGGGGTTCGAACCCACCAACCACTCCACAGAAGAAAGATGGGGCAGTCTGCTTCCGTAAAGATTTACAGCTTTGGGAACCTAGTTGAGGAAGAAAGACGCGATCCCCTTTCAAAAATCAGCCAGTGATAATGGTCCAATCCGATTATGCACCTGAGTCTAGGCCAACTCAGTGGCAGCTACAACAGCACCGGGTTTGAAAGCCTTGAGGTACCTCTCCATCACAACCGTTTGTTCACAGGCTTCTTTCCCATCTGGACCAGTAACTCGATGGAGCCAGGGTCACGTCTCAATCCCTTTCACTGTCTTTGTTCCCAGCACCCAGCCTGGGCAGGGCAGACACTGAATGAACAAGTGGGAACTACCTGAGACAGTTGTGGGAGAGAATGTGGGCCGAGAGAGCCCAGGTGCAGTCACTGAGGGCTGTGGGTCAGGAGAAGGGAGTGGAGGGTAAAGATGGGACACCTCCCTTAGAGAGTGAAGGGCTACCAGACAAGCAAACTAGAATGTCCAATTTTTACTCTCAACTTGCAGGTAGGTTTAACTTCCAAGCAAAAATGAGGGAAAACAAAACAACAAATACCTCTCACGTGCTATCTACTCACGCCCCTGTCCCCCAGAAGTGAAGTTCCTCTCCGGAGGGTGCCCTGCTCATGAGGCTGCAGCTCTTATCCTGGCCAACAGAGGGCAATGTTGTATCATGTTTAAGACCTGCCTTTGCAGTACCTCAGTCAACAGTGAAAAGCCCTTTAGTGATTCACTGGATGGAGAACCTTAGACACCACCATGCTCATAATCCTTATTTTACAGGCAAACAATTTGCCCACGCTCCCGAAGCTATACCTCGCACAGCAGGGCCTCAAACCCAACTTTCCAGGGCTCTTTCCTCCCTGTACAGCCCCTATCTCCAGAGAGACAACAGTTTGCTGGATGCTTCAGTAGTGGAGACATCTCCAGGGTAGAGAGCAAAGGCAGAAGGGACCGCGAGCCATGACCTGGCTGGTTCTCATTCTGCTGCCCGTTTGCTGGGTGACCCTCAGTACATCTGCTTTCCCCTTTGGTCTTCTGTCTCCACGTCTGTAAAAAACTGCACCTTTAACTTTGTAAGACTTGGTGCTGTAGAAAAGACTAGGATGAAGAAGACCTCCTCCCTCGCCCCCCACACAAGCCCACAGGCCAGCCGGACTCCAGCTCCTCAATTTAACCAATCCTACACCAGGCAGAGTGGAAAAGGCTGTGGGGTGATGTCCAGGTGGCCAGCCCAGATGGTTGTCTGGCTGCTGAAAGACTAGTAAAACCTGCCAAAGCTAGAACTGTGTTAGGTGAAAACATGTCACAGAAGGAAAACAAAAATATTTCCCAATAGAATGAGCGATAGAAAAGTGATAAGACGGTATCCTGTCAAAGGCAGCACACTCATTGACCTGGAAAAGCAAGGCAGACTGGTGGAATTCTGGCTCTCCCAGGTTTCATTGTCCTTCTCCAGGTGGTCAATGGCTGTCCGCCCAGCAGTAGACTTGCCAGATAAAATATAGGACACCCAGTTAAATTTCAATTTTAGGTAAGCAATGGATAAATTTTCAGTATCAGTATATCCTAATTTTTGCCTCAAAAAAACCCCTCCAAACTCACTGCCATCGAGTTGATTCCAACTCATAGCTACACCTATTAGGTTCCCAAGGCAGTAAATCTTTACAGAAGGACATTGCCACATCTTCCTTCCTTCCTTGGAGTGGCTGGTGGGTTTGAAGCACCAACCTCCTGGTTAGCTGTCAGCTAACCAGACACTGTGCCACTGTTGTTGTTGTTATGTGCCGTCGAGTCAGACCTGACTCATAGCGACCCCTCCTTGGGTTTCCGAGGCAGTATCACTACAGAAGTAGGATTGCCAAACCTTCCTTCCGAGGAGTGGCTGGTGGGTTTGAACCGCCAGCCTTCTGGTTAGCAGTCAAGTGCTTTAGCCACTATGAGGTCCTTAAATCTTGCCTAAGACATATTTATACTGAAAAATAGTTCTCCATTGATCAGCAATTGAATTTTAACTAGGTGTCCTGTATTTTAATTGGTTTAATCTGGCAACTTTGTTCCACCCATGGAGCCTCAACTGCACCCCAGCCCCTCCCCCAGGGCCCCCATATCTTCACTCAGATTGGTTAGTGACCAGTTTAACTGGTTGCTGAATTTTTTGACTGTCACCCCTGGCTGTAAGAGAGGCAGGCAGTGTGTAACAGCTGTTCTCTCTTCCTCTCTCGCAGACCCAGCCCTCCTTCTGCCCACTGCCACCCTGGCAGCCCTGGCAGATGCCTGGCTCCGAGAAGACTGCCCAGGTTTCAACCACATGGCCTTGGTCACCGGGGCCGCCCCCTCACAGGCGGCGTTATGGGCCAAGTCCCCTGGGGTCCTGGCTGGGCGGCCGTTCTTCGATGCCATCTTTTCCCAGCTCAACTGCCAGGTTTCCTGGTCCTACCCAGAGGGATCAAAGCTGGTGCCTGTAGTCAAGGTGGCCGAGGTCCGGGGCGCTGCCCACTGCCTGCTGCTGGGGGAACGGGTGGCCCTGAACACGCTGGCCCGCTGCAGTGGGGTGGCCAGTGCTGCTGCTGCTGCTGTGGAGGTCGCCAAGGGGACGGGCTGGACGGGCCAGGTGGCAGGGACCAGGAAGACCACGCCAGGCTTCCGGCTGGTGGAGAAGTACGGGCTCCTCGTGGGCGGGGCTTCCTCCCACCGCTACGACCTGGGAGCGCTGTTGATGGTGAAAGACAACCACATTGTCGCAGCCGGTGGTGTGGAAAAGGTGCGTGTCCGGCTCGTCCTTCCCTCGGCCCTTGCCTAACGTCACCCTCCTCATGGCCTCGACCACAGGCCCTGAGCCACACATGGTGAACAGTGATGGTCTGGGAGTCTGGGGACAAGACTGGTTCCACCTGTTAGAAGAGGGCTTAGCCTTGTTTTTTTAGTCTCTTCGAGGCATGATGTTCAAGGGCAGAGGACAAACTGTTGGCAACCCTAGTGTCAATGGCTCTATGACCTTAGGCAAACCATCCTAACTCTGACCTCAGTTTTTCCATCTGTAAAACTGCTCTTGAAGACCTTCTCCAGTTTTAATATTCTGTGTCAAATTGAGCACGGGGCCAGATGCCAAGTGTTGTTGATACCTGACCACTCAGGACCCACCAAAAACCAAACCCAACTCACTGCCATCGAGTTGATTCTGACTCAGCCCCACCCCCCATGGGTTTCCAAGGTGGTAAATCTTTACAGAAGTAGATTGCCCCATCTTCCACAAAACGGCTGAGGGGTTTAAACCGCCAACCTTCTGGTTAGCAGTCAAAGGCCTTAGGTACTGGACCACTAGAGCTCCTTCTGAACACCCACAAATACAGTAATTTCATGTGGTTTAACCTAATATAACAGAAACCAACCTTTGGTTTCCTCATTAACCCCCAAACTTGTTATCCATCTGGGGCCTTTTGGAAGCCAGTCCCAGCTCACTGTGCCCCCTGTCCCCTCCATCCCTAGCCCCACCTCATGTGCTGGCTTCCCCCGACAGGCTGTCCACGGGGCCCGGCGGGCGGCCGACTTCACTCTGAAGGTGGAGGTCGAGTGCAGCAGCCTGCAGGAGGCTGTGGAGGCGGCTCGCGCAGGAGCCCATCTTGTCCTGTTGGATAACTTCAGGCCTGAGGTGAGACATCTGCTTCTGGGGCAGGGGCGGCACTGGGGTGGCTCTCACCGCCCCTCGGCTTGTGTCCCACAGGAGCTGCACCCCATAGCCGCCGCGCTGAAGGCCCAGTTCCCAAGCGTGGGTGTGGAAGCCAGCGGGGGCATCACACTGGACAACCTCCCTGAGTTCTGTGGGCCCCACATCGATGTCATCTCTTTGGGGATGCTGACCCAGGCCGCCTGGGCCCTCGATTTCTCCCTCAAGCTGTTTGCTGAAGGGGTCACCCCAGTGCCCCATGCTCGTCGGTCCTAAGGCACAAGAGGATGACACCAGATGTGGGGTGATATGGTTTGTCTGGGACCCTCAAGTACACATCTTTGAGTCCAGTGGCCTTAGCTCTACTCCAGCTCTGCCCCTACTGCTGTGTGATTGGCCAGGGCTTACTTAATCTCCACCCATCTCATTTCTTAATCTGTCAAATGAGTCTGATGAATGACTAACCTTCTGGGGGTTTGAGGGAGATAAGTAAATGAGATCATTGTGCCAGGCACAGAGTAGACACTCAGTAGATGTTAGAAAGGACTACACTTGATCTATTTATTTCAAGACACACATTTTGTGTTTCATGACATACCTTTCTCCAGGTGTGTCCTTGAATCATGATGTCTCATACAGCTGCTATGGCCTAAGCTTATAGTTTTTTTTCTTTCTTTTCTTTTTTTATGTCTGCAGAAGACAAGGAAAACATCTAGGATTGAAATAAATCCAAAAGAGCCCTTTCAACAAATATAAAATTAAAATTGTATTCTTGATAAGAAAGCGTTGGCTATAGTTTAATCGGCAATTTTCCTTTCCAGTGGTGATCTGTGTATTTCACAATCAACGGCATCTTATGTGTGAAGATACATGGCGTCAGGTCTGACATTGCGCTGGAATGTTCCACTTGGCTGATGCTCATGTTCTAGTTATTTAGCATTTTGCCTTCCCCTCTGGCCACTCTTCTTAGCCCTTTGGTGGAGGTGAGTTGTCCATGAGTCACTTCCAGGTTCCCAACAGACTCTGCCATTGTCCTACTTGGGATGGAGGAAACCCTGCCATTCTGTGCTGAAGGCTGTTTAGTGACTGATTCATGAGGGCAACATTAGTTCTGGGTACAGAATAGCTGGGGCCAGAGCAGTCGTCCAAGGGAGTGGAGGATGGGGTGGGTAGGGGTGAATGTTCAAACATCAGACTTCCTTCCTCGGTAAGTTGGGACTCAGGGTCCATTAGCTACGGCATAGCAGTGGATTCAAGGGCAGCTCCCCAAACTCAAACACACCTGAGTTCCTGTGACATCTCTACACTCACCTCAAGGCTCAGGCTCACCTCTCTGTAACCCTTTGAGGGTGGTTCTGTGAGGAACAGGGGCATGGGTGGTCCATAGGGTGATGAAGTTCCCAGGTCACTCCTCCCAGAGGGCATCCAGTCTGGGGCTGCCTCTCCCCTCCCAGAACCGGCTGTCTTCTCCACTTTTGCCCCCACGGAGGCCTCTTCCCCAGAGGGTTCTGCGGGTCCCAGGCTGCCTTGAGGGAGGTACTCACCCCTTTGCTCTCTTCAACCCTGGAGACCAGTCAGGGGCCTGGAAAAGGGAAGGTAAAGGAAACAGTGAGTTCTGTTCTGAAGTGGAAGTCAGACCTTCATCCTTCACTCAACAAACATGTTCTGAGCACCTGCTGCCCCAGGCTTGGAGCATCACTGGGATTCGGGCAGAGCTGGATGTTACCTCTGGTGTTGCCTTGACCTGAAAGGGGCCATTCCCATGAGACACGGCCCCCAGGGGCCACCTGGGGCTGCACCTGTCCTCCTTAACCCCCGCCTCCAGCCATGATCCTGCCCTCCCTCCAGGAGAGACATGGACATGCTCAGTCAGGATGCTTTCCCTGCCCGGGAGAACTTCGATTTCCCAGTTCCAGCTCCTCAGACCTGAAGGGGAGGGCTGAACTCAGAGTCAGGGGCACTTCCTGGGCAGGGAAATTAAGGCCCATGGGCAAGCTGGGGATTGGAAGGCAAAACATTTGGGTTCTGGGAGGGGATTCAGCCTAATAGGGGCAGAAGGGAGGGGTGTGTGCCAAGAGTCACAAATCGTCTGGGGAAGGAAAATAAGATAAACGAGTGAGGCTGGAATAAGACAAAGGGGGCAGGCTGTGGCTGGATATTGCACCCACAGTGTTCCAATTAAAAGAAAGAAAGAAAGGCATCCTGCCAAAGCTTCAGCTTCAAGCTTAGCCCTGAACGCAGGGATCAGTCAGTTCTAAGGGAACGTCCAGATCTGAGAACTGGGGAGAGGATTCCATTACCAGAGGAAGAGGGAATGGATTCTGGGCAGTCAAAAGCAACACATTCACTCCCTTGCAGGGGAACGGATTTCCTGGCAGAAGAGTCTACAGGGCAGAAGTCCAGAGATGAGAAATAGCTTGGATTGTTTGGTGTAAAATTTGAAGCGATGGTTGGGAGAGACAAGGTATCTAGAAGATGGCCTGGTCCAGACCACAAAGTGGAAGATCAGAGGTCTTGGATTCTACCCCAAAAGCAATCAGATTTAAGCTGGAAAAAGAGATAACATATTTGCAGTTTGGAGTGAGTCAGATGCATTTGAGGAGGCCAGTGACTGCAAGGTAACCAGTGAGGAGACTGAATACTGTCATGTCAGTGGAGTTGGATGGAAGGAGTATAAGCAGGGGAAATAGTAGCATCTGCAAAGGCTCAGCAGGTTGATTGAGCTGATTGGCTCAGGGCAGTAGGGAGACTAAGGTGTGGCTGTGGGGTTGGCAGGTGGGGTGGATGAAAGAAGATGAACCTCCTACCTCACCTTGTGGCTCCCTGTCCATCTGGCTGCACAATTTCTCCAGACTACTCTGTGCCCAACATAAAACCCACACCCATCACAGCAAATGTGCCCATCAAATTGGTTGCTAAATGGAGACAATGGGTTGCAATCAGTATCACGAGCTGGTGGAGGGGAAATGAGCAAGCTGCGAGGAGCGTTCATGCCCAGCATGTGTAGGCTCTCTTCCTCAGTTTACGATGGTGGCAGCTCCTTGAAGAATAGGTGTTAACATCTCTGCTTTACCCATGAGGAAACTGAGGCTTTATGAAGACAGCTGCCCAGGGTCACACATCAGTGAAGTGTTGGAACAGGGTTTGAAATCCCTACTATGCACCAGGCATTATTCTAGATGCTGGATATGCAACAATGAATAAACAGGCAAAAATTCCTGTCCTTTTGGACTTTAGTCTGGGGAGTAACATCAAAAAATAAATAAGGAAATGTCAAATCTCATCCAGCCACCAGAGGGCACCAGAGGCCACCAGAGGGCACCTACACACCTTCCATTCTCTAATTAGATCTCTCCACTTGGTTGGGCAATCCTACTTCCGTAGTGATACTGCCTCGGAAACCCAAGGAGGGGTCGCTATGAGTCGGGGCCGACTCGACGGCAAATAACAACAACAACAACAACTTGACTGCTAACCAGAAGGCTAGTGGTTCAAACCCACCAGCCACTCCCCGGAAGGAAGATGGGGCAATCTACTTCCGTAGTGATACTGCCTTGGAAACCCAAGAAGGGGTCGCTATGAGTCGGGTCTGACTCGACAGCACATAACAACAACAACAACAATCTGTTTCTAGGAGCCCTGGTGGCTAAGTGGTTAAAGAGCTAGGAAGCCAACCAAAAGGCAGTCAACCCAACAGCCAGTCTGGGAGAAAACTGTGGCGGTCTGCTTTTGTAAAGATTTGTAGCCTTGAAAACCCCATGGGGCAGTTCTACTCTGCTTAGAATCGGAATAGATGACAGTGGGTTTTTTGGCCTATGTTTCAAAGACAATAGCCAAAGAGGCTATGAATAGTACAAACACCATCTGCCTCAAGCATGAAAGCAGGGAGGGGAAATGCGGCAGTTCCTTTCTCCACTCACTTGTCCAGCTTTCCCATTCAGATCCCCATCCCCAGAGACTGAGGTACCTCAGGGACTTTTGAATTCCTTGTGCTCCAAGGCTCACCAAGGACTTGTCCATGTCCATCAGTTCACTCACCAAGACTTTCAGCTACGCTTCCACTCTGGTTCCATCTACCTTTTTGCCTAGTCACTTGTCCTACCCACCCAACCACACTACATGTACCCACCCATCCCTCTTCCCTAACTGATGTATCTCCACACTTCCATCTCTACTTACATGTACCTGCAAACCCAGCCCACAAGCCTCCACACAGCCCTGTGCTTGTGGAACTTACAGGCAAACAAGTAACAACTACTGACAATGAAATGTGACCAATGAGTGTGACAACACAGTGCTCTATGGCAGCCCAGAGCCCAGGCCACTCAGTCACAAGGGTCACTGAGGCAGGAGATAAAAGCAGGCTGACGGAGTCAGTGAATTTCTCCAACGGACATCCATTTTAGTGTGCCAAGGCCAATGGAGGGTGAAAGCATTTAAAAACAGTAAGATATTATTAGCAAACAAAATTGTATCTGAAAACAATTTAACTTTGGATCTTTAAAAACTCCCACTGAGCTATTAGGGTGTGGACACATATATTAATTTATGTCTAAGTTGTTCCAAGACCATAGGGTCGGTAAAATTCCACAAACGTTTTAATACCTCTGTACTTTGCTCCAATGACTTCCTGAGTAATAGGTAATTTTGGCAGTTGCTCAGCAACATTAAGGCCTGCTTTCTGAGGCCCAAAGTAGCTCAGCATTATGAGACCAAACTACAAAGTACTGAAGAGACTCTAAGCCTGAGGATGGAAATAACATCTCAGTAGATCATTGTACAGGCCAGATTCACCCCCGATAATGCTTTTGTTACTTTAGTATGTATTGCTCTTCAGGTCACTGAAGTCTCGTCCGGCACACCCAGAAGATGATCAGGGAGCATCCCTACATCGTGCTGGTTTGGTGGGTCCCTGGGAAATTGCTCTTCTCTCTTTCAGTTCTTCAGCTAAAAAATTCAGAAGCTTTTGACAGAACCTACAAAGAATGTAAAAGTTGCTTGCTTCTTGATATTTGGCTGTTTTTTTTTTTAACCAAAAGTAAGCATCTTTGTTGGAATAATATACCAATACATAAAAGACAATGCTTATTTCTTAAAGGCTGGACAAAAATTATACTTCCCACATTAAAAAGAAAAAAAATTCCTTAACCATAATCTCACCAAGAACAACAACAACAAAAAATTATCATTTGCTTGATCTGCTTTGTTTTCTCGGTACGTTATGAACCAGAAAGATAATTCATTGAGATTTGTTAGTTTTTCAGGCACAGGGTTGC